ACTTAGGCTGAATATACATGATTGATGAAAGCACTCAGGACCACGATGTTTTCCATCTCTTCACCGGGAAATTCTTACAGGAATGTTGTGTTTCCTGCAGCTTTGGGAGGGTGTCTTCGTTTATTAATTCCTCGAAGCATAGCCCCAGCGTTTGCACCTGCGGAGAGTTCACAGACTTTCCCGAGCGTGTGTGTTCGCCCTGCATCCAGGGCCATCGCACCCAGCACTTGGTTGTATTGTTGTTTGTTGACATGTCTTGTCTCCTCTGTGGCACCGTGGACTCCTCGAGAGCAGGAACCACGTCCATCTGTCCCACCCCAGTGCAGGACACACAGTTCCAGGCTCAGCAGTGAGCACTGAGGGTCCCTTGATGACTAATTCAGGGTTCCTCCTTCAAGACTTCATTCTAAGGCACCGTTAGAGATTTCCCTGCCTTTGCATTTCTCTTTGTCATTGAAGAATTATGGAATGTCACGGCGAGAAAAGAAGCTAGAATAGTTCTTTGTGTGCAGTCTAACGGTCTTGTGACAATTTGACAATTCTGTTTTTGGAAGAAATTTTAAAATCTTTAACACAGTCATTCATAGATTTAGCTACTATTGTCGAATCACTCCTAACTATGATCTCCTATGTGGCTACAATTCTGAGAGTACCTATTTTGTAAAAAAGAAAAGAAAAGTGTATTATAATTAGATAAAAATTAAAAAACTCATCTATCTGTATTTTATATTTTCCTTTCACTGTTATCCAGTTCATATCAAGATGTATTTTTATTTCCTTTAAGGCCTCTTACATTTTTTTCCATTTTCACCTTTTACCCCCCAGAAGCTCTTGTATTTTATTTTATTTTTCTTGACCATCTCTCCCTGTTTCGTCATGCATTTCCATTTTTGTCAAAGTGACTTTTCAAGATTTTGAAAGTGAACTAAATGTTCCTCTACTTTTCCTGATTTGAAGGGTGGTTTTTGCTAGTGACCTTCAGATCCCTTCCTGATAGGGGTATCCCACTCCCTTGACCTTGTGGGCATGACTGCATTACCGCTTTATGACTGATGCTCCTAAAAATGACCTTGAGATGTCATGAAAATACTAAGCTATTCTAAGAGGATTACTTTGCTTATGCACTACTTTGTGGTGGAAGGTTTCTATGCTGCCTGAGAAACGGTCCTTGCCTCCAGGACCTCACCCTCTAATGGGAAATATGCATGTGAAAAGGTGTAACAAAATATGGCATGTCTGGATATGATGAGGGGACCTGAAAAGATATGAGAACCAAGAAGTCATTTTCTGCTAGGCTGGGCTGAGACATTTTCATGAAAGATTTGACTGGGATTTGAGTTGAACGTTGAGACTTGGAAGTAATTTTAAGGAAAAAAAAAAAAGAGGGGCAAAGATAGATCATCCTCCGAGGGGAGCCTGAAGGGCACAGCCAAAGAGAATAAATCACATGGCTGCATCAGAAAGTTCGCGTAAGGTGATAATTGTTATGTTGCTGGGCAGGCAGGCGAGTGTTAGATTGGCTGGGACTTCGTTAGCCGGTCTAATATTATACCTTGAATCTAGGAGGCCATAGGAATCTATTGACTTTAGAAACAAAATCACGATGGTGATTGAACAAAGCGATCGGAGGCGGAGGAAGGGTAGTGAGGTGTGTGGCATGGATTGGCCGGGACCGAGGGGAGGCAACGTGCCCGGCTGGTGGTCCGGGGGTGAGCTCACACGCGCCCGATGTAGGCCCGGCCGGAAGCGTGCTGCTGTGAAGGGGGAGAGTATGATTGTCAAGGAGGAAGGGAACCAGCTGGAAAGGAGAGATGATGAGGATTTGGAGAGTGGGGGAGTGGGGTGGATGGTGGATCATCCCAGTAGAAGTTTTCAGCACTGGGTTCAAAATGTGGGACCAGCCCAGCAGGGGTGGCTCAGTGTTTGACCCATGAACTAGGAGGTCGATGGTTTGATTCCCGGTCAGGCTCGATCCCCAGTAAGGGGGAAGCCGATCGGTGATGTTTCTCTCTCATTGATGTTTCTGTCTCTCTCTCCCTCTCCCTTCCTCTCTCTCTAACATTAATTTTTTTAAAAAAACATTTAAAAGTGTGGGGCTGGTGCTTACACCGCCATACTGGAGAGTAAACAAAGTTTGCCTCCGGACTGACTTTTCAGGCATAGAAATTGGAAGAAATCCTGTTTGGAAATATATATATATTTTTCCTTTCTCACTGGTCATTGTTGAGCTTTTCCTAAGAAAGCAAGGACTTGGGTTTCTTTTTAAATAAGGGTAGGGAAGGCCATGCCCATGGAAGGTTCTGGTAGTAGAATCCTCATTAACCCCTCGGCAATTGTTAGCAACACGCTCTTGATGCCAAATAAATTCCTGGCGCTGGTTAAAGAAACTCTGCAGTGAGAAATGGCCTACCTACAGTTATATTCTAAATCCCCTTATTCTCAGACGTGACTCAGCCAGTCTGGTTCCTTCGACTTATCCTTGGATTTCTGTGAATATCTCCTAAGAAGATGATGGGTGTGCTTCTGTTGATGTAATTAATACTGCTCTTATTAGTTAACCTCTTCTGTTAAGAAGTAGTTGCTTTTATTGTTATAAATGTCCCGAATTAGAATGCTAACTTAGCCAGACTGTTTGGATAGGCGTATCTCGAGCTCTGATGCGCAGCCCCCCTCTTTCACTAAGTCACGCGTGCGGAGCCGACCCTCGGCGGCCGTCAGAGGCTAGGCCTTACTCCTGTTGAATTAGCAGCGGCCACGGGTTTGAGTCCACACTACCCTGCAGCCCGCTAATGTGATATTTACTGAGAAGGCATCAGTCTGCAGAAAGGTAGTCAATATAAATCAGTGTTTACAAAGTGTGATTAACTCTGAAATATTTCGTCAATGCCCTGGTCCCAGGCAGCCCCTATGCTAATTACTAGGCTCCACGCATGTTTCAGGGGACTCGGCCGGACCCCGAGTGTTGCAGATGCAGAGCAGCAAAATTGCAATTATGCTCGGACCGTCTCCGATGACAATTTATGCATTGGGTGTGATGACCTCCCCCCTCCCAAGAGGGCCATAAACAGAATGCATTTTCATTAAGATACTAATGCACTTAATCACCAGGGGAAAGGGTTAGGAAGGAGCCGAGGACCTTCCAGGGCTGCGTGCGGGAGCTGATGGGGAGAGAGGCTTTATTTTTAAAGGCAGCTTCTTTACAAAGCTGTAGGCAGGCCCAGGGCTCATCCCACACATTGTCACTGCCACTAATTGAAAAAAAAAAAAAATTCAAGATGAAGTTTGGATCTTCTTCTGGCTTACGTATCATTTCGAATGTGTAGGTACTATTGCAAGGGATGTAAACTGCGAGGGATTGAAAATGTAATTTCATCGCGGTTTATTCTTACTTATGACACGTCCATGGGGCTGGAGTGTTTGGATTTCATTGTTCAAGGGGTGTCGCAAGCGTGACGACGACAGCGACGATCGCTGTTTACCAATAAGAAGCATTTGCGGAGCATTAAATTGTTTTGTAAGGCTGTGGTTCGTGTTGCAGCAACAAGCAGGTAACTTCAGCCGCTGCCTTGTAGGAGCTTCTGCAGGGTCCCAAATTAGCCTGCTGATTATTTGCCACAGTGACGTTTAATCGGAAAGACAATAAGCCTGATGCATCCCAACATTGGTCACCCAAGGAAATCCACGCTTAGCTAAGGAACCTGTATCCAGACCCTTCTGTGAAGGCCAAGGGAGGGA